GCACAAGCACCCAGACTGGCACGTCCTGAGCCCAGCGACACCCACTCGGAGAGTGCGCGGGGCTCCAGCGTCCCCCCCGGGGCTGGCCTGCCTCCTGGGCTGCCCTGCCCCAGCGGACTTCTGCAACTCAGGGCTTTCCCGCCAGGACAGAGCCGAGCTTGGGCTTCACCAGGAATATGAATCTGAAGGGCAGGCTCCAGTTCAGGGACGCGTTACCCCCATTTTAGCCAAAAACTCGAGCCAGGGGAGACTGAGCCGTGTGTGGGCAGGCACCACTCTTCCAGGCGGGAGGCCCCTCGGAGCCAGGCCAGGCTGCGCCAGGCCGGGGACCCAGTTTCCCCAAGGCCTGAGGGGAGGGGTGGGCCCTGCTGTCCCGCTCTGCACGGCCCCGCCCAGCTCAGTCCTGCTCGCTCTTCATGCTCTGTGGTGTGCACTGAGCACACACGTCAACTATGGCTCTTAAATGGAAGGTTCTACTGCCGAGCACCTGGAAACCCATCAGTCCTGGTGAGGCTCCATGCCTGGGGGGCTGCGTTTGAGCTGGCTACAAGGAGAGGGAGGAGGTGGCGGGAAACGTGCCGTCCACCTGTGTCTGGGCACGCACTCCCGGACACACACCGGGGTCTTGCAGTCCCTTGGGCCACCACGACAGGCGGCGTGGGGGTGGGGGCCGCCCGGCAGGAGGCCGGTCGACGAGCTGTCAGAGGCAGGCCAGCTGGGGCGCCGCACAGGATCTGCCCCTCCTCAGACTGGGTTTGCCCCACGTGTTCTGCTGGGAGCCCCGAGTGGCAGAGCGGGCTGCAGCGTGCTGGGCGAGGGGGCCCCCAGCCCAGGCCCCAGGGTGGAGCTCTGGAGCAGAGAAGCCCCTGCCCTGCCCCAGCTCCTCTCCCCAAACCCTGGGCTTCCCCTGCGCTGTTGAGGCTGCTCAGCAGAGGGAGGGCCATCCATGCAGGCACTGGCCAAGGGGCCTCCAGGCTCGCCCCACCTCGGGGCGCATCTCCCCCCAGGACCTCTTGCCACCCCGCGGCTAATCTCCCGCAGAGCCCTGTGACAGGCCGTGGTGTGCAGGCCCATTGAGGGGCTGTCTGTAGTCACCAGGATGTGCATGGGGCCGGGGGCCGGGG